CAGTGAGGTTTGGTCATTATCGCACCGCGCTGGACAGTGAGGTTTGGTCATCAACACACCGCGCTGGACAGCGAAGTTCGGTCATTAAACTAGCATACAGGGCAGTGGAATGTGGTCATTATCGCACCGCGCTGGACAGGGCAGTTTGGCATTTGGCACATCATTGACATCCATCCATTTCCTAATTGCTGAGCCCAGTTCAGGGTCGTGGGGCAGCAGGCAACAGGAACAAGGCAGGACACGCCCTGGACAGGACGCTAGTGTATCACAGGACACACACACTCACACCTGGGCCAAGTTTCCCAGAAGACAATTAACCCACCAGCATGTCTCAGGGCTGTGGGAGGAAACCCAAGTGAACCTGGAGAGAACATGCAGACTCCACACAGACAGCACCCCAGGCACTGACCCCTGGAGCCCAGCGCTGTGTAGTAGCCGCAGCGCCACAACTCTGGCCATCGCTGACCCGCGCGACTTGTAACGTCATCGCCCCCTGCCCCCCCCCGTATCCGGACACGGGACTGAGTGAAACCGATGGATGGTGCAGGGCTTGTCCAAGCGGTTTTCAGGCAGGGGTCGAAGGTCGCGGAAGCAGGGCGCACCCCCCCCTGACGCCTCCTTCCTTTCAGGTGCCCGTGCCGGAGCAGAGGTCCCAGTCCGCTGCCGATTCCCAGAGTCCTGCCGGGGCAGGCATGCTGGGGCTGGGAGACGCGGTCACCTGCTGCGCCCCGCACTGCCCCAACTCCGCCCGCCCCCCGGGGGGCGCCCCCGACCCCCTCCTGCACCCCTTCCCGCCGCGGGGCTCCCGGCTGTTCCAGCTGTGGGAGGGCATGGTGGGGCGCGCCCCCCTGCCCCCGCAGCCCCGGCTCTGCTCCCTGCACTTCACGCCGGACCAGTGGGAGGCGCGCCGCCGCGACGCCGGCCTGGGCCCCGCGAGGAGGAGGCTGAAGAAGAGCGCGCTGCCCTCCCGCTTCTTCGACAGCGACGGCGAGGAGTACGAGATGGTAACCGCGCCGCGCCGGGTCGCTCGGGGGCCGATGGGTGGGCGGGCCGGTCGAGCGATTGATGTGTTGGCAGGGTGACTTGATGGGCTGATCTACTGATAGACTGATGTACTGGTGGGCCGATGGGGAAATAGATTGACGGATGGATGAGCTGGTTGGCGGCTCCACAAGCCTGCTCTGGCAGGTCCTCAGCATCCCAGTTAAACAATCAGCCTCTCCAGTTAGGCTGTGTTAGTGACGTCTCGATCCAGCAGAACTAGACCGAGCCCTGTGAGGTACGTTCCCAATGGAGCAGACACACAGAGAATGGATGGATTTTTCCTTTCGCCTCGCTCCTCCCTGCTTCCTCCCAGGCCCCGGCCGGGAAGCGCTCGTGTCCGCGGCCGACGGTCAGCGATCAGCGCTCTGTCCCTCTCGTCCTCTGCAGGTGCCGATCACCGTCCCGGACAGCCCGGAAGAGGACAGCACCAGGGCCGCTGGGCTGGACGATTCTCCAGTGAGTCGCGCTCGGGCTGTTTACTGTGCTGTTGGAAAGGTCATGGCTGAGCTTCTCAAGTGTTCCTACAGCCATTCTCCTCCCTTACAAAAAACATACACGTGGTGTAGCGTGGTAAAAACACAGTGAGATCAGGGTGAAAACACAGTACAATGCCATAATGGGAAGTTATGGTAAGAGCCCATTAATACTGACTGAATATGAGAACCCACAGCAGAGCAGAGTAAAGGTAAAAAGGAAAAATGAGTAAAAAATTAAACTTCTAGTATATGTTCATCACCCATGCATGTGAATTTTGGACCAAGGCGGTGAGCTTGGTTTCTTACCAGCATCACAAAAACCCTCAACTCTCCCGACTCATGGAAATCATTTCCTTGTTCCGCGCAGGCAGATTGTGAGCCAGCTGCACCGCAAGGCTCGGGGGTCCTGGCTCCAGCTGACGATGGGGACCCCCGGACCGGGCTGGCCAGCCAGAGCGCCCCGGGCCGGAGCGTGCCGGGAGACGACACGCACCACGAGCCGTCGTCCCCGCAGGGCTCGGGGCTCCTCGCCGCCGACGACGGCGACATCTGGAGCGAGCTGGACGAGCTCCTCAGTCCCCAGAGCCAGATGCTTGCCGACGGCGAGGATTCCCGCGCCCTGGATCCAGAGTCCTGGCCCAGCAAGTCCTTGTCTCCCTGGCTCCTGGCTCCCGCCGACGACATCTGGACCGAGCTGGACGAGCTCTTCAGCCGCCAGAGCCAGATGTTTGCGGAGGACGAGGACTCCGGCACCACCGACCCGGAGGTCGGGCCCGGCGAGAGTTCGTCCGTGCGCCCCGACTGCGAGCCGGCCTCGCCGCGAGGCTCGGGGGTCCTCTCTGCCGCCCGCGCCGACGAGCCCCGGCTGGGGCCGGACCCCCCCTCCGCTCCGCAGGGCCAGGCCGGCGCCGAAGACAGGAAGCACTGCGCTGCCCGCACAGCGGATCCAGAGGAGCGGCCTGGGGAGACATCGCTTGCGCACCCAGATTGCGAGCCGGACTCC